CAAAGGCTGCAGAGTTGCAGGATCACAAGGGGCTCCTGGAGAGAGACAGCTCGATGAGGAGCAGAGCCTCCTTGGCTTTGACCTTCTCCATTCTCCATCTGTCCAGGAGAGCAGAAAGACTTGCTTTTTCCTCCTCCCCTTGCTCAGCCACTGTCAGTCCCTAAGCTCCTGAGTGCAGTGGGAGGCTCTTTTTGGCTTAAGGCCCAAGAACAAGGGGAGAGCTGCTTTTTGGCCAAGTCCTGCCCGTGTCAGAGTGGCCTGAGGCCCTGGTCCCTGCCTCCCGCCCCGCTCGCGGCTGCTCTGGGGAGGAACAGCCCTGCTGTCCGTGTGCTCCAGCTGCTGGGACTGGAGCTGCAGAGAGGGGCCCTCAGGAGTGAGGGGAAGCAGGGGCATCAGCCTGATGCCTTCTGCTTCTGCTAGAAAACTGCTTTGCACCTTGAGAAGCGAACCTGACGCCAGAGGTCTGGGTTTTCCCACTGTGTGTGGGGGAAACAGCCTGACCCCTGGTTGGTGGCAGCGGGGTGTGATACTGGTTCTCCTGTCTCTACAGATCCCGACAGAGAAAAGAGTTTTGGCTGGACACCATCCTCAGGTGACTCCCGCTGCAGTAGCAAACCCCTGAGCCAGCGTGGCCATCGGTGGGATGCTCCAGCTGAGCTGAAAGGCAACTCGAGAGCTGGGGGAGAGGTACCCCCACTGCTGGGGCAGCTGCGGGGCAGCGCTGGCCGAGTTGCTCAGCCTTGCGTTGGTAAAGTAACACCAAGCTGATCCTGCTGCCACCATTTGCTCCTTTTGTGTCTGGATTTCTTCTGATGTAAATGGTGCTGGAGGGGCTGGCAGGGGAGAGAGCAAAGCCGGGTTCAGTGATACAGAGCTCTTCTTTCCCTGTTCACAGGCAAAGGAGCAGAGTCCCGGAAATGCGGGTGATCCCGTTGCCCTCGATTGGTCTACTCGTGCAAGTCTTGGGCCTCAGTGGATCTGTAAGTGTCTTTGTTGTTGCAGCTGGGTCAAGGGAGTGACTCTGCTTTCTAGCATGGACCATCAGAGGAGTTTCTCCCACTTGGCCTTTGTTCTCTTTTCTAGCCGGTGACGTTAACTTCTGAGACCATCAAGGCTTTGGTTCAGTGCCAGGCAAA